CGGGGTGAGGAGGATGTCCCCAGGATGGCATCCCTGGGAGGAGGAGCACATCCCCAGGGGTGTGGAGCAGGCAGTACCTGGAACATCTTGCGGCTGGCCGCCTTCTCCTGCTCCCGACGTTGGGAGCTGCTCATCATGGCATCGTAGCAGGCATTCCAAAAGTTGGACATGTGGTCGTGGCTCTTGGCAAAGGTGTCCATCTCAAACTGAGCCATGGTGGGCTGCACCTACCGAGAGAACCAGAATGAGAGGGGAGGCGTTGGCAGGGCTTGGCACCCACCAACCATCCCCCTGGGCTCGGCACCCACCAACCATCCCCCCCTGGGCTTGGCACCCACCAACCATCCCCCAGGGGCTCCCAGGAGTTCTCCTGCAGGCTGTCCCAACCTGGTGGTGACAAGGGGACCCCACCCCAACATGGACCCATCTCTAAGCCTGGGAAGGAGTTCCCCAACAGCGAAGCCACCCCACGCCCCGCGGCACCCACGTGCTTCTCGATGAAGCTCCTCCACTCCGGGGTGGTGCAGAAGAGCTGGAAGTCCTCGTAGAAAGTGGGGCTGCCGTTGGTGGGGGGCAGGGAGGGCAGGAAGAGCTGCAGCTGCAGGGTCTCGTAGCACTGGTCCATGAGTGTACGGACGATGGGCACCAGCCAGGAGAAGGTCTCCGACTGGGCGTCCAGAGAGCGCCGCAGAGGGGTCTCCAGCTTGCCCAGGAGGTAGCAAGCTTCATCCTTTTTGGGGGCTGAGGAGGTCTGCAGCAGGCTGTGCAGCTTCACGTACGCCAGCGAGTGCAGCTGGAGGGGGACATGGGGGGACACGGGTCAGTGGGGACCCGGCACTGCTGGCTCCATGGTTGGACTCCATGATCTCAAAGGTCTCTTCCATCTGTGATTCCATCAGAGGGGGCTGCTGGCTCTGCCCCAAAAGGCTGGGGTCTCAACACGAGGCCCACCAACGGACCCAGGTGACCCGGCACTGCTGGCTCCATGGTTGGACTCCATGATCTCAAAGGTCTCTTCCATCTGTGATTCCATCAGAGGGGGCTGCTGGCTCTGCCCCAAAGGGCTGGGGTCTCACCACGAGGCCCACCAAGTGACCCACCTGGGGGCACCACGAGCCCCAACAAGTGACCCACTTGGGGGCACCACAAGCCCCACCAAGTGACCCACCTGGGGGTCCTGCAGCAGGATGTAGCCCACGAGGATGCGCAGACCCGTCTGGGCCATCTCCTTGAGGTCAGAGGTGCCGTTGGCCAAGTGGTACCAGACGCCCAGCTTGTCCAGGAGACTGCTCACCCCCTCGTAGATCTAGGGGGGAACACACAGTGAGACCCCTCCACCTCTCCAGGGTGCAAAGCCACCAGGTCTGTCCTGGTCACCCAGCCACCCTCGGCTTCGCTTGACGTGGGGTTTGGGGTTAGTCCCAGCTCATAACCCTGATGACAGACTGGGTAGGGTTTGAGATGAGGATTTTGGGTTGGGGCTCAGGGTATGGGTTTAGGGTGAGGGTGCAGGGTTAGGGTTGGGGTTTATGGCCAGGATGTAGGGTTAAGGTTGAGGATTAGGATTTAGAAGGCACAGCTATGAGTGAAGGTTAAAGTTTAGGGTTAGATTTTAGGGTATAGGATTGGGATTGGGGTTTACAGTAAATCTGGAGGGTTTGGACTAGGGGTTGGGACTGGGTTTAGGACTAGGATAGAGGATTTGGGTTAGGACTGAGGTTTATGGTGAGGATGTAGAGTTGAGGTTTAGGATTAGGATTTAACAGATTTATAAATCAGGAGTTTAGGTCATAGGATTAGGATTTTGGTTTACAGTAAGGTGTTAGGATTTGGGATGAGGTTTAGGGTTGGGGTTTACCAAAAGGATTAGGGTTAAAGTTTAGGATTAAGATTTAGGGTTTAGGGTGTAAGATTAGGATTTGGGTTTACAGCAAATGTGTAGGGTTGGGATTAAAGGTTGGGACTGGGGTTAGGGCTAGTGTAAAGGATTTGCTTTAGGACTGATATTTATGGCAAGGACGTAGGGATAAGGTTTAGGATTAGGATTTTGGAGGTGGTTATGAGTCAGGACTATGGTTTAGGTGTAGGCTTTGGGGTCTAGGGCCAGGCTTTGGGGTTTACAGCAAGGGTGTAGGGTTAAGGTGAAATTTCAGGTTTAGGTCTTAGGGTTTAGGATCACAGTTAGGGTGTAGGGTGAAGGGTTGGGGTTTACCAGAAGGATGTAGGTTTAAGGTTTAGGATTAGAGTTTAGGAAGTAGAGTTCCATTTTCAGGTTTTGAGTTAGCATTAGGGTTTAGGGTTAGGGTATGGATTTATGGTAATGGTGTAGGGCTAGGCAAAAGCTCAGGATTAGGGGTTTAGGGTTTACAGTAAGAATGTAGGGTTAGGATTAACAGCAAGATTTAGAGTTAGCTTTACAGGTTATGAATTAGGGAGAGGGTTTAGGGCTAGATCTTTGCATATAGGATTAGAATATTTGGTCTGGGTTTTTGGTAAATTTGTAGGATTGGATTATGGGTTAGAACTGGGTTTAGGGGTATAGGATTGGGCTTCACAGCAAGCCTGCAGGTTTAGGGTCGAGCCTTAGGGTGAGAGCTGGGGTTTAAGGCTGGGCTGTAGGCCTAGGGCTAGGTCAGGGTTTGATTTATGGGTTATAGTTACAGCTCAGGAGTAAAGAACAGGATATTCTCTGAGCCTAGGCTGAAGCGCTGCAGGGTTTAGGCTTAGGCCTGACACCAGGGACCAACACCAGGGTTGAGAGCTCGGGTTTGGGATGGGGCAGCCCTCCCTGTCCCCCTGCACCTTCTCGCTCCAGAGGGCCTGGTTGTTGTGTCCCTCAGAGAACAAGAAGTCCTGGAGCAGGCGCAGCAGCTTGAGGGCGTTGTGGGTGAGGGCGGGCAGAGCCCCCGGCCCCGACTCCTTCAGGTCCGTCAGCGCCGACTCCAGCATCATCTCCAAGAGGCTGCAGCAGGGGAGGGGGCTCCAGAAAGTGTTCCTCCCTTCGGGGGTGGACCCCCTCCCTCCAAATTCCAGACCCGGGGTGTGGGACTCACCTCCTCTTGATCTCGTCGGGGGGCCGCACCAGCTCGCACGCCGTGCCCAGCTTGGTGAGGACGGAGAAGACCTGGCCCCGCTCCCTCCACGCCCCCTCGTCCCAGCCCTCCACCCCACGCCAGGTCACCGAGAAGATGATGTTGGTCAAGAGGTTGCACAGCTCCTCCTCGGGCGTTTGCTGCCAGCACAGAGGAAGGGTGAGGGATCCAGCGCCCGGGGGGGCCGCACCAGCTCGCACGCCGTGCCCAGCTTGGTGAGGACGGAGAAGACCTGGCCCCGCTCCCTCCACGCCCCCTCGTCCCAGCCCTCCACCCCACGCCAGGTCACCGAGAAGATGATGTTGGTCAAGAGGTTGCACAGCTCCTCCTCGGGCGTTTGCTGCCAGCACAGAGGAAGGGTGAGGGATCCAGCGCCCGGCCTAGCCGCTCTCGGCCGTGGCCACCGAGCTGGTGCTGGCCAGGTCAAGGCCCAGGTCAAAGGGGGAGGTGGAGAAGGGCGAGAGGGGGTGGTAGACGCCGTCGAAGGGTGGCCCGTCGCCGGGGTTGGAGGACGAGCGGCTGGCCCGGTCGGAGGAGTCGAAGGATTTGAAGTTGTAGGAGTGGAAGGACTTGGCGCGGCCCCCGGGGGAGATGGAGTGGTCGGAGAAGCCCTCGGAGAGCTCCTGGTCCGAGGCCTCGTAGCCCAAGGGCAGGAAGACATCCAGCTCCTGCAGCTCGGCCGGCGGTGGGCTCGCCCCGTCCTTGCCCGGCGGCTCTGAGGTGGGGGGGAGCTCCAGGAAGCCCCCGTTGGCCACGTGGGACTCGTAGGACTCCTTGACGTAGAGCTTGGTGAGTGTGTCCTGCCAGCCGGGCAACCTGGCCAGCTGCTTCACCATGTCCTGCTGAGCGTAGATCAAGTGGAAGAGCTGCAAGAGGAAGCCAAAGGGGAGACCCGATGAGGTTGCCCCAGCTCCTGGTGGTCTCTGGAGAGGGTTGACCCCTCCAAAGGGCAGGACGTTCGCTCCTGAGCACCCCAGATCCTCCATAACCATCCCGAG